GGGTGCTTGTCACTGCTGTCTGGTCCACGTTGCCCCCCGGTCCTACCGGGTTTGCAGCACTGATCTGGACGTCTTCAAGAATCAGTCAGAACGTATTTGGTCCATCCGTATCCCTGTCCAGAAATATATGTAGAATGTTGAGTAGTGGAGCGAGGCCCATAGCACCAAATTGGGTATCCTAATATCCATCGTCATTTTTTCTTGCCCCCGTTGACTTCCTCCTTGCCTCCCTGACTGCTTATTATTCTTCTTGAACGTGATCTCCCACGTCAGGTACGACAAGGTGGTTATGGTGGTTCGTTTCGCTTCTGTTCATCTGATTGCATGCGGATCCGAACTTGGGTCCGTATTTCAACCGTTTGTGGGTGTACCCGCTACTGGGGTAGGAGTGCCAGTACTGTTACTGTGGTTTTGACGAGGTGGTTACCTTGTTATTTCTTTTTTCTGTTTGTCTGATTGCTTCTGGGTTCGAACTTGGGTCTATATTTCAACTGTTCATGGGTGTACCCACGGAGCCCAGCACATTGGTGTCGTTACTGTGGTTTTGACAAGGTTTGTTACGGTGGTTTTGACAAGGTGATTACCGCGGCTGTGGGGTTGTGGCGGTATTTTGGTGGTATCAGAGTGGAGCAATTGCTATAAGCGACATAGTCTCGAACAAGGTGGTTATGGTGGTTTTGGGCTAGGCTGCTTTTCCAGGCGCCTGGGCACCTAACTTATGCCCGGGAAAAAACCGCCCGGGTGCCTTGCCAGGCATGACCCCCGGGCAGGGTTCCAGGCAGTCTCAGCACAAAAAAAAAAAAAAAAAAAAAAAAATCCGGGGAAAAAATATGTTGTGTAGAATTGCAATACAAATGACTTTTGGCTGAGGGTCACATTAGAATTCCTCATGGAATCGGAGATAAAAAAAGAAAATAACAGAATCACACTACGGCACTCCCCTTTCAACCCCTTCAGCCCCTTTGAAACCAATTTATACCCCCCCCCCCCCCCCCCCCGTAAAAGCCAGCTCGCAAAGAAAGAAATGAGCCCGGATTCGGGACCCAAGTGTTTTTTTTTTTTTTTTTTTTTTTTTTTTTTCCGCACGCCCAGGTACCCCGGGCGTCAGACCCCCCCGCGCGTTACGCCTGGGTGTCCGGCCGGGCATGAAAATCTTCCTAGGTTTTGGGTCTTTTGACACCATGATTTAAAAACAAAATTCCCGTTCGTCTGATTGCATGTGTATTTTACTGTTTTTACTTGAGTCTGTATTTTAACAGTTCATGGGTGTACGCACAGAGCTAGGCCCGTCGGTATGGTTACTGTGGTTTTGACAAAATGGTTAGTATTTGTTAGCATGGTTTTGAGTCTTTTGACAAGGTGGTTACCATGGTTGTCGGGCTGTGGTGGTTTTGAGTCTTTGACAAAATGGTTACCATGGTTTTGACAAGGTGGTTACCGTACCGTGGTTGTGGGGCTGTGGCAGTTTTGACAAAATAGTTACCATGGTTTTGACAAGGTGGTTACCGTACCGTGGTGGTGGGGCTGTGGCGGTTTTGACAAAATGGTTACCAACTTACCATGGTTTTGACAAGGTGGTTACCGTACTGTGGTTGTGGGGCTGTGGCGATGTTTTGGCTGTATCAGAGTGGAGCAATTGCAATAAGCGACATAGTCTCCAACAAAGACGTTCGCCTCTCCAGGCTTGAGGTTGCAAGCTGCGGCATTGGCCCCGTGTCTGCTGCCAAGTTCTGCCGGCAGCTTGCTGCTGTCGGCGGACTCTCCTACCTGGACATTAGTCGCAACCACGTTGGAATCCAGGTAGGCTCCATAAAATGTCTTTTTGAAAAGGAGTATGCTAGGTGTGAAGAGCTGTTGTTTTTTGAACAAGAAGCGGTGTTTTTTTTTTTTTTTGGACAAGGGTTTTATTACTTTTCAAATTTCAAGTTTGATATGATTTCTTTCACCTATCAGTTTGCATTTTGGTTCCTTCCGGATTGTTTTGATTACCCATTTTCTTTTCTCCGCTGGCTGGAGATCTGCCCCGTGGCGTGCGAAGTTAAACTTTCTATAGTAGTTAGCTAGGCCTAAGAACGACCGCAACTCTGTCAATGTGCGGGGCGTCAGCCAATCTCTAATTGCCGCTATCTTGCTGTCCTCTGGCTGAATGCCATCTCCGTCTAATACGTGGCCCAAGTACAAGACTGGTGTCTTGGCCCACTCGCACTTCTTCGGGTTGATCTTGAAGCTAGCCTCTCTTAGCTTCTCCAAGACCTGCCTCAAATGACCCTGATGCTCTTGGAGGGTCCTGCTGAATACTAATATATCATCTAAATAGACTACTATGAACTTATCTAACCATGGTCTAGATAGATCATTCATACAACGCTGAAAAGTAGCTGGCGCGTTGGTTAGTCCAAAGGGCATCACTACGAACTCGTAATGCCCATATCTAGTCCGGAACGCAGTCTTGTACTGGTCGTCAGGATGGACCTCTATTTGATGATATCCGGCCTTCAAATCTATCTTAGAGAATTACTTACAACCCTGCACCCGATCTAGAAGATCGTCTATCCTGGGCAGCGGCTCAACATTCTTCACTGTGATGGCATTTAAACCCCTATAGTCTATACACATACTAAGCTGTCCTTCCTTCTTGGGGACAAACAGGACTGGTGCTCCGAAAGGAGACGAACTGGGCCTGATCCAACCTTTCTGGAGGAGCTCGTCTAACTGCTTGCGTAGCTTCTCTAACTCTCTAGGGGACATCCTGTAGACTGCTCCCTTAGGAGTCCTACTGCCAGTCTTTATCTCTATCTTGTGCTGGATGGGTCGCGGCACTACTCCTGTCGGCGACTCGGTCAAATCTTTAAATTCCTCCAACAGCTTGGCAATGGTTGGGTCTGTGGAACTATCTCCTTCCTTAGCCTCAGTGACAGGCCTCACATACACTACGAAGACCTGATCCTCTAACTGCTCCTTTTTCACTAATCGCGCGAACGTGGGAGCATTGAGACAACAATGTGCCAAGGTGTTATCTACACCTGACACATGAAACAGGCGGGCAGTCTTAACCTCGCCTGACGGACTAGGGAGCCTACCCTCATGCTCTCTTAAGTGGAGTGTGGCCCGTGCTGCCTCTCCCCAATCCATTCCTAATACTATGTCGAAAGGAAGGTCATCTTGAACGAGGAGAGTCAGGGAATGGAGAACTTTCCCCACCTTCCCATCTTTCTCTAGGCGAAAGTACGCCTGGACTCCATCTACGTAGTCCTCAACTCGCATCGTGCGGTTGTCTGCGAGGACACTGACTATGGGGTCTGCCAACTTTCGGACTTTCAATCCTAGCCTCAGCTTCTTCAGCGCCCTACGGCTAATGTAACTGCGGGTGGCCCCTGAGTCTATAAGGGCCCCTACTCTGCTTCTAAACACTTTTACATCTACCAAGATTAACTGTCCCTTACTCTCCTTCTTCATTTTGGCCCAGGCTGGCATCCTCTCCTTCAACTCTTCTGCCACGCCTGTGAGGGACGTGCCTGTGCGTAGAGAGACGCTAACACAAGCAGTCTCTGAACAGCTAGCTAGGCACAGGCCTGCAACCTATGCCATAGGCTCATGTGGTTTGGGAGTTTCCTGTGTGCGCTCGCTCGCTTCTCCACATGGCCTTGAAGTAGGGGCAGTTGCGACCCCTACTGGCGGCTGCCTTTTAACTGCTGAGCAGCCCATCGGGCCTGTCTGTACTTAGGACAAAATTTAATTACATGGGCCGGGTCACCACAGAATACGCACTGACCCAGGTCCACGCGTTCCTGCCATACGCGTTGGTCCAAGCCCAAGTCTTCCCAGGGCCTGCCCTGTGGCAAGCCTGGGTGCCATCCTCCTTGAGGTGACCTTCCACCTCGTCGCTGTGGGGACCGGCAAGAACCCTGGCGACTTGGCGGGGGACCTTGACCCCTACCTCCCACTTGGCGGTTCCCTTGTCCGCCAACCCCCTGTGCGCCCGGTCCTCAACCTCCCATGGCCTGGCCCCTTTGGCCCTGACCTTCTCCTCAACCTTGCGGCCTCCCTCCGGCCGCGAGAGCAGCATAGGACCTCCCCTGCCCCACGCTATTGTCCTCCTCCTCTAAGCCCCACTCAATCTCACTGTAAGGGACTTCATCAGTACCACCTTCTTCTAAAGTAACGATCATATGATCCTTGGCCCTGACTTGGCCAAAGATGCTACGGCCTTTCCACTTCTTTCCCTTATCCAAGTCCTTATGCCTGAAAGTGGAGACTGGCATGGACTTTGACTCATACAGGACCACCTCTCTACTCAGCACATCATGGTCTGGGATGGCTACCAGGTCGTTCATAACGCCCTTGAGTGCCCTTGCAGTCCTCCACTGTCGCGAGTGGATAGTCTGTAGCTTGTCAGAGGCTCTAACGCCTCTCGTTGGGTCAACAAATCGCTCCCTCAGGAGCTTGAAGAAGTGAGGGAGGGGGGTAACCTTGGAATATGCAACCAGGTTGTTTTCACAACCGGGTGCGCATGCTGGGGACCTGGCAAAACTAGCCGCTTCATCCTTAAGGGCCTGGAAGGCGACGCGGACTTGCTCCTCAGTCAAGATATGCTGTAAGTAAACGTAACTATTGACGCTCGCCTCCCAGTTATCAAAATTCTCCTCCTTCCCCCCATAGGCATCTGGGAATTTAAGCTTAACAGGCTCCTTACGGGGCCTGGCCTCACCCTCCACAGCGGCTATTGCTTTGGCACCCTCGATGGCGCCCTCGCAAAACTTCCCCACTCTGTCCCTCAATCGCCTAACTTCGCCTCCAACGTGGGTGACCATATCGCGCGCAAAATCTCTAAACCTTGATCGCATGGCACTCAGGGCCACATCCTGGCCCTTACTGGCTTGGCGCTCCTCCATCCAGGCCGCACTCAACACTTCCAGATAACCCAACACCTTATCCATCTTGGCAGAAATGTCTGGCTGCGCCCGCACCTCTTGTCTACAATCTCTCACTTTTGCCACCTCCTCGGTCAGCCTGTTAACTTCGTCCCTCCTTCTCTTCTTCTCCCTCTTCATCCTCAGTTTCCACTCCAACTTCTTCTCTTCTTCTCTTTCTCTCCGTTCCAGAGGGTCCTCCATTGCCGCTAGCTCACTGGCTAACGCATCCCTCTCATCCTGAGGCACATAAAACTCTGCCTCCTTGTCTTCTCCCAATGATAAATTAGCAATCCACTCGCTGATTTTCTTCTCCATTGCGGCGTCCTCATTCGCCGTGCCACTACTCTCTCCTCTTACTTCCCTGTGTTTCCTCTCTTCCTCTGCCTCTGCTGCCGCTTCTTCTTCAACAGCCTTCTTCTTTTTCTCTCTTCCTCCAATTCCTTAATCTTCGCCGCCTGCTCCTCTGCGATTGCCTTCAGCTTCGCCTGTTTCAAGAGCTCTTTCCTCTCCTTATTCTCTCTCACTAAGGTGGCCATCTTCTCTTGCTGTTCCTGGGTGTAGGGGCTAGTGCTGGTCCCACTACGGGTCTCAACCATGGTGATAAGTGCACAACCGGATTACGGTTTCAAACCTCACCACGTAGACTCTAACCCCCGACTGACAAACCTATTAACTCAATGTAAGACTCACAGAATCCGGACAGGGATCCTGCCAACTAGGGTCTCTAGCCTAGACCTACACTATGGCTGTCACTACTAGACCTGTTGCTAATAAGGAGGCATTTAAGGAGATCTCCCGTAACTCGTCAGGAATTATTTAACGTCGCAAACAGGACGACGCAATCAGCAGGTCTCTCAACACTTAGACTGCCTGTTGCGCAACCCACAACTCAGCCTTTCGGGCCTACCTGGCCACACCGAGCAGCCCGCCGGTCTGTACCGGTCCTTGGGAGGGTTAGGCCTCCGGGACAGTCGAGTCGTCAGACACAGTCTTTAGCCCTACTAGGTCCGGTAGGGGTTTGGTCAACAAGGCCTATCCTTCATCCACAGAGTACTATCACCTAGACAAAAGAGACTCGATGCAGAAAGAAGAGACAGACAGACTGGACTCAGCAAGTGCCACAGAGTGTGTGCACATCCGTAGGGCGAGGGATAGGCTGAAGGCTTGGCGAGATTTTACCGGCTCCAGCTTGGTCAAAGTCTTGGTCAACGCCTTGGTCAACGCTGCGGTCAACTCCCGGTCAACCCCCGGTCAACTCCGGTCAACGCCGGTCAACACCTCCGGTCAACTCTCCCGGTCAACCCTTCGGTCAGCTATGGCTGCCGGCTTCTCTTTCCCTCACCAAC